AAAAAAAAAAAAAAGTAATAGCAGTTAGTTGTCATTATTCCATTGTATAAATAAACTCTTAAGTTGTGAACCCACAACCCTACCAATGGCCATATAGTTCCAGGGCAGTGTGAGAGAGTGGGTAAAAGCACGGCCTTAGAAGACACACAGATCAGAGTACGTATCCTGGCACTTTATTTACCAGGCACATGACTTTGGACAAGCTATCTAACCTGTGTCTTGCTTTTCTTATCTATAAAATAAAGATAATAAAAGTACCTGCCTCATAGAATTGTCATGAGGGTTAAAATGATATGACTTGCAATATAAAACTTAAATGCATTTTAGTTTAAAAATCATTTTCACTAAATTTTTTATTAGTATGAATAATTTTTATTAAGATTTTCATTATTTTATTATTTATCACTCTCTCTGTAATCAATTTCACACATCCACATTGAAACTCTTAGAATAAATTCTTAGAAATGGAACTGTTTTATCAAAAGGTATGCCAAACAAATAAACAACGCATTCAAAGACTTTTGCCAAATTGTCTTCCAGGAAAGCTATGCTACAAGCAGTGTATGAAAAGGGGTCTACTCCCCAAACCTTTGCAAATGCTAGGTACATGTTTTTGTTTTTTAATTTTAATTTTAATGTTTTGAACATTTGGAAGAAAAACGACAGCATGTCCCTGTTGATTTTATTTAATATTCTTTGATTATTTGTGAGGATAAGCATTTTTCACATTTGTTACCCATCTATAAATCTTCATTAGCAAATTTTCTCTTCATATGTCTACCCATTCTTTCTTTGAATCAACTGATCTTCATTTAGTTTACTTACTGAGCCTTCTATATCTTGTTTCATTTTCATTAAGTGTGCTGTCAAAATCATGTTTTTTAAACATATGTATACACAACTTGTATATTTATAAGTCAAATCTCTTAATCTTTCCCTTTATGCTTTCTGTCTTTGCGTTATGCTTTGCATTACCCTGGTAAAGAACTTGTCACCCAAGACTAAAGACTAAGTCTATTGTAGTTTATCCTAATATTCTAAAACATCTTTTTGTACACATATTTACATTTTTACTGTATCTGGAACTGAGAAAGAGGGACTAGAAATGTGAGGTTGGGAATCTCACTTTTTTCTGACTGTTTGGCCAGTTTACCCAAGATCCTTTGTCAGACAATTCACTCTCCCCACTGATCTCAAAATCTGCCTTGTGACCCATCACACCCATGAGTACTCTTCGATCTGACTCCACGCAGAGAGATGAAATCATGTACAGCAGAAAGAATGCAGCCCACCTCCCTACAGCTCTCTCCTTCCTCCACCACTGGCCTCATTTCTTTGCCTCGTATGGCTGAGGCCAGAAACCAACGCCAGGGCCTCTATGTCCCCCTACAGAGGCAGGGCTACAGGTGCGCTGGCCCCACAAATCACAGGTAGTACAGGGCTGTGATTCCTGATACTTCCACACCTGCCTCTGCCCCATCCCTTGCCCCTTCCAGCTAAAGGGCTTGAGTGTAAATCTGAGTGTTCTCCTGTTGCCACGCAGCTGCCCAGCTGTCTGTTCCCGCACGCCGATTCCTAAAAGAGAGGCGCTGTCTCAAACCCCATGAGACTGGGAGGAATGATTCCTGTAAAGCGTCCTCAGGGGGCGTCCTGGAAAGCTGAGACCTGATGGAACGATATATTGGTTGACTCCCAATCCCCTTATCAGTAAGTTTACAGATAAATCCTTATTAGTGAGGTTTTAGCATAAATTTATCTTCTGGGGTCGTGCATGTGTGTGCATGAGAAGGCATAGCATTTGTTGGAACACAATGGGACTTTCAGTAATGGCAGCCTACAGGCATGGGAATCCGGCTTAAGCAAATTCTCAGGCATGAGAGTCACAGACTGTGGAAAAAACAATCCCACTTCCTGATTGAGGTATGGATAAAAGCTACGCGTTGGCCCGATTCGGGGCTCAGTCCTAGAGAGACTTGAGTCCCCTGGCCCGCTTGCATGTAACTCTTGGCTACTGCCTCTTTCTTAACCCTTTGCCGCCCCTTCTCATTTTCCACTGCTCTTGTCGTGAGGGACGCGACATTCTCCTCTTGGGATGCGCTCTCCCTCGGGTGTAAAACAGCTGCAGCTTTGCATAAACAGGTCTCAAGCTCACTCTATCTAACAACTTTTCCTAGAAATCTCTGGCATGTGGGTGGCACTTATTCCTAATTTCCAGCATAAGGGTAGATAACTTTTTTCCTTGCATATTCTGATTATCACTTCAGTGGGAATTTGGGAGGGGGTGGAATGAAATCACCAATGCTCAAGTACCATCTGCCAAAAAGCCAAATGGCTTTGTAATCAACACTCAGTCCTGTCACTCATGAATTCCAAGAACAACTCATGCTTGGTAACATGCAGTAAACAAGTCACACACATTACCTTTGATAGCTGCTAAATATCCTCGGAGTTCTCGCTGAAGTCTGGTACCCTCTGCCTGAAAAACACACAAAGCAGAGATGCTAAGCATTTTTCTATATTTTGCCTACAAACATGTACGAAGCAGTAAGTCTCAGAGTCATTATTGCCAGAGGCTCATTCTTAAAACAACATAAATATGTGGAAACAGGCTAAATAAGGTGCCTATGAGGCTAAATATTTACAGATTTTATTCAGCTTAAAAGGACAAGGCAAGTACAGCTTTGCTAAGAATAGAAACTGTGACCCATCATACAGCCTCCAGTATATTCAATAAATAGCAAGTCTCTAAGTTTTTACATATGGATTACAACAGTAGGGAACTGGTCACCACTGTCCAGTATGGTAGCCACTAGCCACACATGGCTTTTGAGTGCTTGCACCATGAATAATCTGAATGGAGATGTATTATAAGTGTAAAATACACACAAGATTTCAGAGACTTGTACAAAAAATGTTCATTAACATGTTTTGTATCAATTGCATGTTAAAAATGATAATATTTTAAGAGGAATACCAAGATGGTGCAGTAGGTAAATGTTGTGCTTACCTTCTCTCACAACCACATCTAAATTACAACTATACTACAAAACAATCATCATTGAGAATCTCCTAAAATCTTGCTCAACCAAAGCCCTACAAGTAAGGATGCACAGAGAGGCCACCTCCAGACTGGTAGGAGGGGCAGAGACACAGAACGGGCTGGTCCCACACCCGTGTGTGACCATTTAAGATTGGGAGGGATATTTCAGTTGTGGAGATCCCCCCAACCCTCCAGAGGAGCGAGAGGCTTCCAGTACCAGAGAGAGAAGTTCCCATAATTTCTGGTTGTGAAAACCAGCAGAGATTGTGACTGAATGAGACAGGGAGGCTGCACTCACAGGAGTTCCTCTTAAAGGGACTGAGCGCAGACATACCCACCAATGGAATCACTTCCTCTGAGCTGCAGGGCTGGGGTAGCAGCTGTAAAGGAGGCAGGGGCATATGGTGGGGAGCTGAGTTGTCTGGCTTGAGACGGGAGCTGGAGAGGGGGCTTTCTCCTGGAGGGGGGAGCTGGTGGAGGCCACTGTTTCTTTGTTGAGCCCTCCCCCTAACCAGTGTGTGGACAGAGGCGGCCACCATATCTGAGTCTCCTCCATTCATTCGCCATGCCCTGGCAATTCGAGACCCCGCCCTGCCCAACTTTTGGGCACACCCAAGCCTCTTCCAGTAGCTTTTTTTTTTTTTACAAACCGCCTGCCTTCCCTCATGCTACAGACTTTCCTAGGGTTTCTCAAAGGGTCGCAGAACCCAGAAAAGCAGCATCTGGCTTGAACGTGTCCTATGGCACAGGCTGAGGTAGCCCTAAGCTCAGCACTAGCTGCAGCCAGCCTTGGTTCAAGGCTTGGTATTTCAAGGCACTTCCATGTACATCACAGGCGGCAGCCATCTACGGATTTTTTGTGGCTCTAGCCAGGTGGCCACAGTGGGGCACGGGCTGTGGCTGAACTTGATCTACAGTGGATCCCCTCCAAGGTGGTCTTGGGCCTGGCGCCCCCAATGGCCAGCTTCAAAGCAAGCTGGAGCATCAACCAGCTGCCTCCCAAGAACAACACACCTAAGGGGCAGGTTGGGCAGGCACCAGAGTCCTGCTGAGGCAGATCCTGCTCTGTAGGGTCAGCCCCCTGCACAACAACTCTTCCACTGTAGCCAAGGTCAGTGCTCACAACCAGTGAGCCCAAGGGTTATTCCCTCACACTGATGTGCAATTATCAACCAAGGCTCAACTACAAGAGGAGAACACACACAACCCACACAAGTGACACACCTGGAGTGCATGGCTCAGGTGACCAGAAAGACTGCACCACTGAGCCCCACAGCACACCTACTACATAAGGCCACTCTACTAAGACTGGAAGACATAGCAGCCCTACCTAATACATAGAAACATACACAGAGAGGCAGCCAAAATGGGGAGGTAAAGAAACATGTCCCAAATAAAAGAACAAAACAAAGCTTCAGGAAAAGAACTAAATAAAAAGGAGACAAGCAATCTATCAGACACAGAGTTCCACACACTGTATATAAGGATGCTCACTGATCTCAGGGGGAACTTCAACAGAGAGATAGGAAGCATAAAAATGAAGATGGAAACCATGAAAAAGAACCAAAAATAAAGGATACAATAACAGAAATTAAGATTATGAGGTTTGACAATTAAGTTTGTGAACTTGTTTCTAACCTTTTCTGATATCAGAAGGATTATTCATTATGAATTTGTACCAACTAGACAAACAGTTAACCAATTTTACTATTTGGAAGTGCTGAAAACACTACGTGAAAAAGTTAGACAACCTTAACTTTTCACCAACAATCCATGGCTCTTGCATCAAGACAATGCACCTGCTCACACTGTCTGTGACAAAGTTTTTAGTCAGTAAACAAATAACTGCATTGAAACACTCTCCTTACTCACCTGATCCCCAGAACCCCAGTGACTTCTTTCTTTACCCAAAGATAAAGGAAATATTAAAAGGAAGACATTTTGATGACATTCAGGACATCAAGGGTAAAACAATGACAGCTCTGATGGCCATTCCAGAGAAAGAGTTCCAAAATTGCTTTGAAGGGTGGACTAGGCACTGGCATCAGTGCATAGCTTCCCAAGGGGGAGTACTTTGAAGGTGACCATAGTGATATTCAGCAATGAAGTATGTAGCACTTCTTCTAGAATGAGTTCTCAAACTTAATTGTCAGACCTCGTATATTACAGGGAAGCAACAGTAGATTAGATGAAGCAGAGGATCAAACCAGCAATGTATAAGATAAGGTAGCAGAAAACACCCAACCAGCATAGCAAAAAGAAAACAAAGAATCCAAAAAACTGAGGAGCATTTAAGGGGCCTCTGGGACAACATTAAGCATACAAATGTTCTCATTATAGGGGTACCAGAAGGAGAAGAAAGAGAGCAAGGAATTGAAAACTTATTTGAAGAAATAATGACAAAAAGATTCCCAACCCTGGCGAAGGAAATAGATATGTAAGCCCAGGAAGCACAGAAAGTGCAAAACAAGATGGACCCAAAGAGGCCCACACCAAGACACATCATAATTAAATTGCCAAAGGTTAAATACAAAGAAAGAATCCTAAAGCAGCAAGAGAAAAGCAGCTAGTTACCTACAAGGGAGCTCCCATAAGACTGTCAGCTGATTTCTCAACAGAAACTTTGCAGGCCAGAAGGGATTGGCAGGAAATATTCAACATGATGAAAATCAAGGACCTAGTAATACAACCAAGATTATTCTAAGCAGCAAAGGTATCATTTAGAATTGAAGGATATATAAAGAGTTTCTCAGATAAGAAAAAGCTGAAGAAGTTCATCACCACCATACCAGTATTACAAGGAATCTTAGAGGAACTTCTTTAAGGTGTAGGGGGAGGGTTAGGGATGGGTGAAAAGAGGAAGGGATTAAGAAATACAAATTGGTTACTACACAGTAGTCATGGGAATGTAGGGTATTGGTTACTACACAGTAGTCATGGGAATGTAGGGTATAGCATAAGAAATATAGTCAATAATATTATAATAACTATGTATGGTGCCAGCTAGATATGAGATCTATCAGGGTGATAGAAGGGAATAGGGTTGGGGACAGGGTGAAAAAATGTGAAGGTATTAAGAAATACAAATTGGTAGTTACAAAATAGTCATGGGGATGTAAAGTATAGGGAATATAATCAATAATATGGTAATAACTATGTATAATGCCAGGTGGTACTAGTTAGGGTGATCACTTCCTAAATTATATAAATGTCTGACCACTATACTATACACTTGAAACTAATATAAAATAATATTGAATGTCAACTCTAATTGAAAATTGTAAAAAATGGGGGGAGGAAGATCAATAATACTATGATAGCATGGTACAGAGTCAGATGGTTGCTGGACTTATGGTGATCAACTGTTTAGCATAGGGAATAAAATCAATAATGTGGTAATAACACTGTATAGTGCTAGGTGGGTATGGCTGAATAGCTACGATATACACCTGAAACTAATATAATGTATGTTAGCTATATTTTAATTTAAAAATATCTTTTAAAAAATGTAATATTTTGGATATATTGAGCTAAATAACTATTATTATTAAAATTAATTTCACCTGTTTCTTTTCACTTTTTAAATGTGAACACTAGAACAATTTACATTACATGTGTTGTTTGCATTATGTTTCTATTGGACATTAACGAAATAGAGAAATTGTAAAAATGTAAACTTTGACATATGAATCCTAGTTTTGGTTTGGCCTACTCTTAGAAACTCTGAGACTAGGATTAAAATTCAAGAGTTTAATCTGAATTTAACCTAGAAAATGTCAATGGGGCATGGAGCAGTGAGGCAGGGAAGGGAAGAGAGCAATCGCAGGATGCATTATCAAGCAACTTACTAGTGTGGGCAACTGGCCTTAGTCCCACTGGGGAACTGTGGGAGACAGTGTCAAACACCCTACAGATATCCTAACAGAAAGGCAAGGGAGCTGGGGCATTTATCCACTAACTCAAGTCAGTCACTGGTTGAGGGCTGCTCCTGGGGGACATTAAGTCCCCCAGTATGTTCACACAGGTGCAGGGTGGTTTCCAGTAACCAGAAAAATTGCTCAGGCAAAAAGTGGCCCTTGCAACTAAGTCTAGTAGGCTCAGGAAGGGTAGGTGCTAGAGGCATATAGCTGGGCACACACAGCGTGCTATAACACTTCAACTGAAAATGTAAAAACATATGCACTTTAATTGAATAATTACTTTACAAAATTGCAGAAAGCTGGCATATTGAATGATTCCATCTTGATAAGTAATAGTATAGCATTTATATTATGACTCTAACTTGATAATAATACAGTTAACAATATAGCAACTATAATAGTCATATTTAAGTCAATAATCATTTGTTAGTATTTACCAAAAAGGGGAGAGGGTTAGGGGAAGAAAAACTACTCCCCTCAGTAAATTATAATTTAGTACGGGAACTAAAATATCTA